CAATTAACAGCCCCAGGACGATGGCACCAGGCCGGTGGGCGCCCTTTGCTCGGTTCCAGCGGTTACCGTCTCGACTGCAGGGCCATAAACCGGGGTGGTTGCCTTCTCTGCTGCCTCCTGGTCAGAGGGCGTTGAGCGGCAGATAGCGGGACGTGGCCTTGTCCCCATGCCACGCCTCGGTCACACGCTGCCTTACTCACCAGTCCCCTCCCTGCACCAAGGGGATCAGGTGGGATCCCAGGGGATCTGGTGGGGAGGGAGTCATTGGGAGGGTGTCATGGGTGACACATGTTGGGTTGGCGTGTTCGGCCCCCAAGCAGCCATGGGGGAAACTGAGGCACAGAGGGTGCAGGCAGCCCTGCCAGCAGCATAACCCAGGTGTCTGGGCCAGCAGAGGGGACCAGGGTTTGTTGTTGAGGAAGCCATAAGTGGTAGAGTCCAAGTCTTCTCCAGATGTTGTTCTCAACGCCTATAAAATGTGATTAATGCCGATACGCTTGTCTGCAGAAAAGGGAAATTGTCCCCAAAAATGGGTGAAAGTTCATGGGCAATCACAGTGTTTGGACTTTGCTCACCAGCCTTGGGCTCTTCCTGCCCCGCTTGGCAGAGGAGGACAGAAACATTTGGCTAATGAGTTACGGAACACAGCAGGTCCATCCCTGGGACAGCCCTGCCGTCGCTCGTCGCTGTCCCCTATCAGGGCTGGGAGATTTTGCAATCTGGGGTGTTATTTCTGTGCAGTTGGAGTTTAAACTTTGCCACTCGGGTCAGGGCACTACGGAGGAGGAGGTGACCAGGCTTGGTGTCTGCCCTGCTCCTCTGCGCACTAAGGGGGTTGAGAAGAAGGGACGGATCTGTGGGATTGGGATTTCACACAGGTATGTCCTGCCTGCCGGCACTCAACGGGGTCCCTTTACCTGATTGTCCCATGGGGCCATCAGGGCTCACTGGAAGGGTTGAGGATGAAGGACAGGGTGCAGTAGAGCCCCTTGCCTGGGTTGACCAGCTAAACATTGCGGTGGTGGCAGCCATCTCCAAACCTGACTTGAAGGACACTTGAGCCAGTGCTAAATAGGTTGAGAAATGCGGTTGGGTGATAAAGGGTTGAGTAGTTGAGTGGTGGGTTGGGTAGTTGTGTAGTGAGTTGGTTGATCAATCAATCAGACAGTTGACTGGTCAGTCAGGTGGTCAGAGGGTTGGTTATTTGGTCATTCAGTCAGTTGGCCAACAGGGTTGACCATTGGTTCTGTTTCTAGACCAGTGCATTGATTTGGCTGGTCAACTGGTTGGTCGGTTGGTCAACTGGTTTGTTGGCTGGTTGGTTAGTTGGGTTGTCAGTCATTTGGGTTGATCAGTTGATTTTCTCAGAGTCTGGGGTCTTGAGCAGTGCCTGGGATGGCAGTGGCAGAGCGGGGTTGAGTCCCCTCCTCGGGGCCGGCCAGTGGCAGAGTCTCCTCCTTCTCTGCTTGCACAGAATGATTAACTCGATCTTCTGGAGCGGTCGCACACATAGGACAGGGTGGGACGGAGGAGCTGACCCTGCGCTCGGGTCTGCACACTCATCCTGCTCCTGGGGAACACAGTGGGACTGGGGCAGCTGGGTGCCTGCGGGGAGCCCCTGCCTGTGCAGTTCTCTTGGGGGGAAAAAATAGAGGATTTGGAAGTTTCAGCAGCTGGAAGGAGGCAGCGAGGTGCCGTGCACATGTGCACGTAGGGCTTTGCCATATGTGCCCACATGTGCTCACATTCAGGTGCTGGCACACGTTCACACACCCGTGGTGTGGACACACACGTGCACACGCAGCCGTGCACACACTCACGTGGTCACACGGAGCCACACACATGCACACGTGTGTAGATACAGTGGATACACCCCTCTGTGGTCCCTCACATGCGTGCGCATGCCCAAACACGCCCCCTCTCACCCTCCCCATGCCTGCCCCATGATTTGGGGTGTCCCTGGGGCCATGACGTTTGGGGAGGACAATCACGGGGACCAGGTTGGGGACTGACTCTGCCACCTTGCAGCCATGGCCTCCGGTGTGAGCGGCCTCGACAACCTGGACCTGCTGGACCTTCTCTTCGACCGCCAGGACGGGATACTCCGTGGCGTAGAGCTGGGGACATCCTCGGGCACCTGGCATGAGGATGGGGTGAGTCCCCTGGGGCTGGGGGGCCCACGTTCCCACCGCACCCCTGGTCTGGCAGGAGATTCCCCATCCCCACGCCTTGCCCGGAGGCTGGGACCACCTGGCACGGGCAGCTCTTGTGGGCACCCCAGGGTGACCTCACGGTGATGGGTGCCCATGTCCCTGCAGCATGCCCAGGACGGCGAGGACTTCCTCAGCTCCATCCTGGGCTCCAGGGACTCGGTGCTGGACTCACCTGGCTGGTCCCCAGCCACCAGCGACAGCGGGGTCTCTGACGACCCCCACTCCGACCAGCTCGACAGCCCCCCCAGGTGCTGTGATGGGGGTCCTGGCGAGGCCCTGTACCCCTACGCCGACACCTGCCGGGCTCTGCCCCTCCCAGGGGGCACTGGGGTCCCACACCCTGAGGTCTCCATCAACCTGGGTGAGCCATGGGGCAGAGACTGGGCCAAGGACCAGGCTGGGGGCACTGGAGGGACTGGGGGGGACTGGGCAAACTGGGGAGAACTGGGAGGCCTGGAGGACTCAGGGGAACTTGGGGGAGTGAGGAGAGCTTGGGAACTGGGGTGAACTGGGCAGGCTGGTGTTGGTGGGAGAGACTGGAAGAAGAGGGAGGTTTGAAGGTGCTGAGGTGGGCTGAGCAGTGCGGGGTGTTTGATAGGGCTGGGGTAGGACCAGAGTGACAGTATGGGGGGACACAGTCCAGGGCCACTGGACTGGTAGGTGGCAGCAAGTCACTGTAGCCCTGGGGCCATGGAAGGGGTGGGGGTCCCGTCCTGGGAACAGTGGGACAGAGGGGAACACAGACTGTGACAGCCTCTGCTCTCTCCTTGCCCAGACATGTGGCACCCCAGCTTCTTCTTGGAGGAGAGCCAGGACCTGCCCGTGGCCCCTCCACCCGGGACCTGCCCGGGGCCCCTCCACCCACATCCTGCACCCTCACTGTCAAGGACTTGCTGCTCTCAGGCAGTTCTGATGCCGTGAGTCCCTGTCCCTATGTCCCCATACCTCCTTGTCCCCAGTCTTTTCCTTTCCTGGACCACAATCCCATCCTCATCTTGAGGCTCCATTCCAGACCCATCCTTGTCCCTTTGCCCATTCCTCCCTGTCCCTATCCTTGTCCCCTTCCCTGGACAATTGTTCCTTCCCCATCCCTGCCCCTTCCCAGACCATGATCCCCTCCCCATTCCTGTCCCCATGCTTCCCACACCATGATCCCATCCCTGCCCTGTGGTCTCCATGGTGGTCCCTGGGCTCAGGCATGGGGTGATGCCGTCACCCAG